GCCGTCGACGGGGAACCACGGAGGTCGATTTTGCCGCCGTCGTCACAGCGGGGTAAGTTGGCTCCGATACGTCGAATTCAGCTATGCTATTCGCGTAGCTGAATTTGCGTATCTTAAACCGACCCCCCACTGTAGTGAAGACCTGCCCTCAGAGTCATGCTGCAAGTGCATCTCTGGCTATGCCCTTGGCTTTCTGCTGTTTCTCTGTCAGCTTCCCTGGTGTTTCTGCTGCCTTTCACCCACACAGAGACACAGCTATACTCAAATCAATCCCCTTCCCGTCAGCTTCTCTGGTGTTTCTGTTGCTTCTCTCCCACACAGACACACAGCTGTAATCAAATCAATCTCCTTCCCCTGTGTTTATCAGACTCTTGGGAAACCCGTGGACCAAATGACCCAGCTACTGCCCAGGTTAGCATGCAGTCTAGTCTTTGGATGGTGGCTTTCCATTGTTTCAACAAAGGAGCATTTAATTGTTCCTTGTTTAAGCTGAATGGAAGCTAGCTGTCACACCCAGGAGCCTCCAGGGGATGTGTGATTGCCCAACCTCCAGTGTAACAGTATGTAGTTGGATTTTTAAAAAGTCCTTTTGCCTTAAAGCTGATGTCCATTAAAATATAAATAGATCATACAGATTAAATCAAACAACAGAACTCTCCTCGCCCTCTGTCCTCTCTGGATTTTTAAGTATGACCAGCCCTTTAAAAAACCTGCAAACTCCTAGTCCACCCCTTTCTGGGAAACCTTAAAAATAGATAAGGTTTATAGGGAGCCCTGCTAGTCAACAGCCTCAGACTCTGTTGGATCAAGGAGGAAATAAATTCCAGAGTTGAGGACACACCATGGAAAATATGCATCATGTAGCACCTTTCTGATTATACTGGCAGTAGGTGTTTAAGAACATAAGAATGGTCATGCTGGGTCAGACCAAAGGTCCATCTAGCCCAGTATCCTGTCTTCTGACAGTGGCCAATACCAGGTGCCCCAGAGGAAATGAACAGAACAGATAATCATCAAGTGATCCATCGCCTGTCGCCCATTCCCAGCTTCTGGCAAGCAGAGGCTAGGGACACCATCCCTGCCCATCCTGGCTAATAGCCATTGATGGACCTATCCTCCATGAATTTATCTAGTTCTTTTTTGAACCCTGCTATAGTCTTGGCCTTCACAACATCCTCTGGCAAGGAGATCCACAGGTTGACTGTTTAGGGCAGACAGATCACTGGTTCAATTGACAAAGGGCTTAAAATCCAAAGGAAAGCAAAACAAGTCCAGACAGGACAAATCATACACAGAACGTGGTGTGGCCATTTTCCCCTTCAGTGCTGTTTTCTGGCACAGCTTCTCTGCAGCGGTGAAATGCAGTGGCCTGCCTTTGAAATGTGAATATTCTACAGAAGCGCTGGCACTTCAGAATGACATCCCTCCTATGCCCCAGAGTTGTATTTTGCTTCACATTGTAGGAGCACTCAATGTCCCTGACTATAGAGAAATCTCCATAGTTGTCCTAGCATCAGTGCAACTACACTGGTTCGAGTGCTACTCTAGATAGAACATAGGTGTGCTTACCACTGTCACATCTAAAGTTGCTCAGAGATAGGTTAGATGACATGGTGGTAAATATACCTATGCCCTGTCTACACTAGTGCTCCCGCTCTGTTGCTTCTTCCCATGGAGTTGCACTGGTGCTAGAGTAGTAGTGGGAGACTTCTTTCCAACCTGAGAGGCAGCTAATTGTTAACTGACACCACCTGATGATTGAATTTTTTACTCACAATGTCCTATGTGATTATTGAGTTAAACTTACGCTGCAGTGATACAAGAATATTCAGACATGAACACCACCTAGAGGCAAGATAATAAATTAAACTATAAAGATTTATAGTTGAGAGAACCAAACTTGTGTGAACCATTTTGGCCTACCTCCAGCCACTGTGAAGCTGAGACCCCCAATATAAGCAGAATATTTTTGGCAACTTTGCTTCAAACTAATCCTTCTAGGAAAGAGACAACATCTGCTAATGATGACTGGAGGCTAAAATGTCACTCCAGAGGTATTATGTTTAGGGAGAACCTTTTGAGAGTGACAATATGGTGTCTTCCTCCTCTTGCATACCCCTGGCATTGGGAAGATATTTGTGGGGATACCCACTGGTAACTGTGTGAATCAGGTAATTCAATCCTGATCCACTTCTATTTTTTCTTGCTTTATTTTAGTAGATATTAGTTATCCACTAAAATAAGGGTCCAAATGTACCAAAGGGATTGTTAGTTAAAGCTTTATTGAATGTGACCTATGAGACCTGTGCACCACATACCAACAGTTTGAGGAATGTCCACCATTTGACAATTTCCAAGTTTCCAGTGATCAGTTGTGATTCCTAAAATGCACCAGTACACTCCCTTTCCCTTTAACTATTATTATTATTTGTATTACCGTAGTACCTAGGAGCCTTATTGTGATAGGTGCTGTACAAACACAGAACAAAAAGATAGTCTCTGCCTCAGGAGTTTACAATCTAAGTAGTTTACAATCTAACAATTCTTACTTTGCTTCTATGACTACAAGGGCAATGAAATATAAGAACCGTGCAAGCCTTGGTTTAGCTCTGCCTTTCTCTCCCCTCATGGAAATCCCTGTGGGAAGAGGTTTGGGGGAGCTGGACTAGTAAAACTCCACAAAAATCTCCTTGCAGAATTTTCATTGGATTGTTTGATCTATAGAAAGGTTGAGGTTCTGTACCCAGGTTCCATACCAAAGGGTTCCCCCACCTAAAATGTCCCAAGCTTCTGCCCTCAGAAACCGTGAACCCTGGAGGGGGGCACAGGAGACCAGGGCCTTCCCAGTACAATTCATCCTTGTGCAGAGGGGGAGCACAAGGCTCATGCACCCTTAAGCTGTCTAGTTCAAGGGCTTAAGAAAGATTTAAGTGCTTCATAGATCTTGTGCTAGCCTCACTGCACATGGCTCCTTTGGCCACAGTATTGCACTGGGAGCTTCAGTTCAACGGATTATCCACCATGACCCCCAAATCTCTTTCAGAGTCAACCCTTCCCCAGATACAGTCCCCCATACGGTAAGTATGGCCTATATTCTTTGTTCCTAGATGCACCCATTTGTATTTAGCCATATTAAAATGCATATTGTTTCCTTGGTAAGCTGTGCTCAAGCAATCCAGAGAGCTCTGTATCAGTGACCTGTCCTCTTCATTATTTACCACTCCCCCAATTTTTGTGTCATCTGCAAACTTTATCAGTGATGATTTTTGTTTTTTCCAAGTCATTAATAAAAATGTTAAATAGTGTAGGGCCAAGAACCAATCCCTGCAGGAGCCACTAGACACAGACCCATTTGATTCCCTGTTTACAATTACATTTTGAGTCCTATCAGTTTGCCAGCTTTTAATCCATGTAATGTGTGCCATGTTAATTTTATATCTTTCTCATTTTTAATCAAAATGTCATGCGGTACCAAGTCAAATGCCGTATGGACATCTAAGGATATTACATCAATACTCTTACCATTATTAACCAAACTTGCAATCTCATCAAAAAAGATATCGAGTTAGTTTGACAGGATCTATTTCCCATAAACATTGATTGGCATTAATTATGTTAATTCTTTATTAATTTTGTCCTGTATTATCCCTCCATTTTCTTGCTGGGGATCGATGTCAGACTGACAGGCCTATAATTACATCTTGTTTAACCTTTTAAATACTGGCACAATATTAGTCTTCTTCCAGTCTTCTGGAAGTTACCAATGTTCCAAAACCTATTGAAAATCAACATTAATGGTACAGCAAGATCCTCGGCCAGGTCTTTTAAAACTCTTGGATAAAAGTTATCTGGACCTGCTAATTTTAAAATGTCTAACTTTAATAGCTGCTGTTTAACATCTTCCTGAGATACTAGTAGAATGGAAAGAGTGTTATATGATATAACTACATCATCTGTTTTTTTCCAACTACAGAATAGAAATATTTATTGAAAACTTCTGACTTTTCTACCATTTCCACCTTGTCATGGACAAATACCGCTGTTAGGATTATTTTCTTCCTAATATACTTAAGAAAATTCCTTATTGTCCATAACTCTGCTGGCAACAGAGGTCTCCTTGTGTTCTTTTGCTTCCCTTATCAATCTTCTACAATTTCTAGCATCTGATTTATATTCATTGCTATCAACTTCCCCTTTTTTCCTTTTGTGTTTGGTTGGTTGGTTGGTTTGTTTTACAGCTGCCTTCACTTCCTCTCTAAACCAGGTCTTTTTTAACCAATATTGCTTTCTTCCTCAATTGTGGCTTTTGGAGCATCTAGTAAAGTGTTCTTAAACTATTCACATTTATCATTCACATTTTTCTGATTACATTCAGCTGATTTGTAACATAACGGTTTTCAGCTTTGTGAAATTGGCCCCTTTAAAGCACAAAAGTATAGATAGCTCTGGTTTGTAGTCAATTCTGTTTGCATATTATAAATGTGATCAAGTCATGATCGTTTGTACCTAAGTTACTTACATTACATTAATATATAGTTCAGTTTATCTTTATCTGTCGAGACAAGATCTAATATAGAATTCAAGAGTAAGAGAATCAAGAGTAAGTGATAGGTTTCAGAGTAGCAGCCGTGTTCGTCTGTATCCACAAAAAGAACAGGAGTACTTGTGGCACCTTAGAGACTAACAAATTTATTAGAGCATAAGCTTTCGTGGGCTACCGCGCATTTCTTCGGATGCATAGAATGGAACATATATTGAGGAGATATATATACACATACAGAGAGCATGAACAGGTGGGAGTTGTCTTACCAACTCTAAGAGGCCAATTAAGAGGAAAAAAAACTTTTGAAGTGATAATCAAGATAGCCCAGTACAGACAGTTTGATAAGAAGTGTGAGAGTACTTACATGGGGAGATAGATTCAATGTTTGTAATGGCTCAGCCATTCCCAGTCTCTATTTAGGCCTAAATTGATTGTATCTAATTTGCATATCAATTCAATCTCAGCAGTTTCTCGTTGGAGTCTGTTTTTGAAGCTTTTTTGTTGCAAAATTGCCACCCGCAGGTCTGTCATTGAATGACCAGACAGGTTAAAGTGTTCTCCTACTGGTTTTTGAATGTTATGATTCCTGATGTCAGATTTGTGTCCATTAATTATTTTGCGTAGAGACTGTCCGGTTTGGCCAATGTACATGGCAAAGGGGCATTGCTGGCACATGATGGCATATATCACATTGGTAGATGTGCAGGTGAATGAGCCCCTGATGGCATGGCTGATGTGATTAGGTCCTATGATGATGTCACTTGAATAGATATGTGGGCAGAATTGGCATCAGGCTTTGTTGCAAGGATAGGTCAGTGTTTTTGTTCAATGATGTGTGGTTGCTGGTGAGTATTTGCTTCAGGTTGGGGGGTTGTCTGTAAGCGAGGACAGGTCT